TTTTGTCAAGAAATGTTAAATAAAAAAAAAGTATTTAACATATCGAAATATCCGTATGTACTTCTGTAGTGCATATTATATAGTTTTTAAAAAAATTTTGGTTTTTTGCTCCAGGTTCAATCGAATGGCAGATCCTCGCAACGCCGATTTGACAAAACGACGTTTAGTAAATTGGCTTCAGCGTCGCCATTTTGTTAAAAAAAAAAAATAAAAAAAAATATTTTTTACTTCTAAAGACTTGTATTATTAAAACCTTAAAATGAATTTTTTGTTACTTTTATTGTTTTCCTAAAAAAAATTCCCAAAGTTACCGATTGATTTTTAGGCGGTCAAGGTGGTGTAACCCCTTAAGTACATAGTAGGGATTTAGCAATAAGTTTCGAGTCGAAAAGCTGAGACAACTGTAAACAAATGAATAATATCATTAATATCGTTTGCGTGCCGTTAATCTCGATTTTTTCCTCGCGGGGGGACGATTGCAGCATGTGCAGAGCGCCGAGAATTCGCAGGGTGCATCCGCCCGCGGCACTCTGCGCCGCAAGGAGCACAGAAAGGTCCTCACTCATCACCTGTACTTCTGCATGCGGGACTTCGGCCACTCGGTCGGCGAGGACACCGAGATTTACTTCTCTCTATTCGATGCCAAGCGGCAGCAGTACCTGAGCGAGCGCTTCCTGGTGCGCATCAGCAAGGAGGGCTTCTCCAATTACGTGGAGAAGATGCACAGTAACTGCACCATCTTCACGGATCTGGGCAACTCCGATCTGAGCCGCGATCTTTACATGGTCGCCCACGTGATGCGCTGCGGCCGGATGCTGTACTCCGATTCCGGCAAGAACAAGACCGGAACGACGACTTACAGGCGGCCCCATGGGGTGGCGGTTCTCTCCCTGGCGGAAGCCGCCCAAGATCACGCGGAGGAACTCGAGATGACCTTCAAAGTAAGCGGATGAAAGAAACATTAATTTATATATCGTATAATTGTTACTTTAGTTTCCGATTTATAACAAAGATTAATTAAATTTCTATATCTTGAAATTCCAATAGCTTACCTGAAAATCCAATAATTTAATTGAATTATACTCGAATTATTTAATAATTTTTTTGATATTTTTGATAACATTTAAGAAGCGAACATGAAAGGGATTTAATTGGAAAAATTTCTTGCCTGCAGGTGTATCAGCAGAAAAAAACGTTAATTTATATTTCGTATAATTATTACTTTAATTTTTTTATTTATAATAAAGATTAATTAAACTTCTGGATTTGAAATTACAATAGCGTACCTGAAAATCGAAAAAATTAATTAATTAAAATTTCTAGCTCATGTTTTAACACAAATATATATAAGATAAATCGGCCAAGGACGAGCGAAGATAAAAGTAACATGGAATCACCTAAAACTCAAATTAATAAATAGATAGTTTAATGTCGAGAAATTAAAATCAATACTCAGTATTAATTTATTATATTCGATTTTTATGTTATTTATTTTTTTACTTACATTTTACTTTTTATATCTTCAACTGAAGAAGATTCTGTGAGTCCAAACGTATTGATTTTAATTTCTCGACATTAAACTATCTATTTATTAACTTGAGTTTTTGGTAATTCCATGTTACTTTTACCTTCGCTCGTCCTTGGCCAATTTATTTTATATATATTTGCGAAAAAATTAATTAAACCATACTCGAATTATTTTTTACTTCTTTTGATATTTTTGATAACATTTAAGAAGCGAACATGAAAGGGACGGATTTAATTGGAAACATTTCTTGCCTGCAGGTGTATCAGGGGGAAGAAAAACATTAATTTATATATCGTATAATTGTTACTTTAGTTTCCGATTTATAACAAAGATTAATTAAATTTCTGTATCTTGAAATTCCAATAGCGTACCTGAAAATCGAAAAAATTAAGTAAATTATACTCGAATTATTTTTTAATTCTCTCGATTTTTTTTGTAATATTTAAGAAGCGAATATGAACGAGACGGATTTAATTAGAAAAATTTCTTGCTTGCAGGTGTATCAGGGGGAAGGAAAACATTAATTTATATTTCGTATAATTGTTACTTTAATTTTTTGATTTATAATAAAGATTAATTAAATTTTTAGATCTTGAAATTCCAATAGCTTACCTGAAAATCGAAAAAATTGATTGAATCATACTCGAATTATTTTTTAATTCTCATGATTTTTTTGATAAAATTTAAAAAGCGAATATGAAAGGGGCGGATTTAATTGGAAAAATTTCTTGCTTGCAGGTGTATCAGGGGGAAGAAAAAACATTAATTTATATTTCGTATAATTGTTACTTTAGTTTCCGATTTATAACAAAGATTAATTAAATTTCTGGATTTGAAATTACAATAGCATACATGAAAATCGAAAAAATTAATTAAATCATACTCGAATTATTTTTTAATTCTCTTGATTTTTATGATAAAATTTAAGAAGCGAACATGAAAGGGACGGATTTAATTGGAAAAATTTCTTGCCTGCAGGTTTATCAGGGGGAAGAAAAACATTAATTTATATATCGTGTAATTGTTACTTTAGTTTCCGATTTATAACAAAGATTAATTAAATTTCTGTATCTTGAAATTCCAATAGCTTACCTGAAAATAAAAAAATCAATTGAATCATACTCGAATTATTTTTTAATTCTCTTGATTTTTTTGGTAGCATTTAAGAATATGAACGAGGCGGGTTTAATTGGAAAAATTTCTACTTGTCTGCAGGTGTATCAGGGAGAAGAAAAGGAGTTTCATCAGCTGCACGAACAAATCATACGTAACAACAAGTGCTCTCCTCTACCCGGACAGCCCAATTATGGAATAGTTGTGTCCCTTCGTATCCTGCACGGCGAGCTGTCTCAAGTGCGGGAAGAGAATCCGTTGCTGTTCAAGAATATTTGCCTCACGAAGAAGCTCGGTTTCTCGGACGTTATTATGCCGGGCGACGTGCGTAACGATCTGTATCTCAAGCTGGAACGGGGTGAATTTGAACGCGGCGGAAAGTCTACTGGCAAGAATATCGAGGTGCGATAAAGAATTTCCGAAGAATCGTTTCTCTCGCAATACATCTATAATTGCATAAAATCACAAGTTGTGTGGAGTATTTTTTCGCGAAATGTACATCTAATTTTTTCGATTTAAGAAAATGTACAGTTTTTATATAAATTTAATTTTAAAAAATATCCCTAAATCGCACAATTTTAAATAAAAAATAAATAAATAATGAAAAAATAATTTTTACGACAATAAAGTGAAATATTTAAATATGTTTGCAATGAAATTATAGGTGACAATTCGATTTAAGAAAATGTACAGCTTTTATATAAATTTAATTTAAAAAAATATCCCTAAATCGCACAATTTTATATAAAAAATAAATAAATAATGAAAAAATAATTTTTACGACAATAAAGTGAAATATGTTAATATGTTTGCAATGAAATTATAGGTGACAATCCAGGTCCTAGACACGGACGGCCAACCGTTGGAGGAGTGTCTGTTTGGAGCCGCGGGGACGGACGGTAGCTCCGAGTATCAGAGTTTGGTCATATACCATCACAACAGCCCGTCGTGGGCGGAAACTGTGAGGCTGGCGATACCCATCGACAAGTTCTACGGGAGCCACGTGCGTTTCGAGTTTCGGCACTGCTCCAGTGAGTTTCCAATAGATATCGATCTGATTCCGATCTTTTCGCGCCTTCTCTTAAAACGCTCGGCCGCGCTTATCTTCGCATCTTCCCGCCTATTCTCTTCACGGTCTTCATTTACCTTTTCACAACGAGAAACCACTCTCGTGTTTCAGCGCGTGAGAAGAACGACAAGAAACTTTTCGCCTTCGCGTTCGTACGGCTAATGGAGCCCGGAGGTGCTACTCTTCAGGACGGCCCGCACGAGTTATATATTTACAAATGCGAGGAGCGCGCGAAATTGGATTCCTTGAGTTACCTGTCGTTGCCGAGCAGCACGAGGGAGCCATGCGCCTCAGGTAAATCCAAGTTCCTCGAATAAAATAAAAGTATTTTTTTAGATAATCAAAGTTTATGCGAGTAAAATAAAAAAAAGTATTAATTCTAAAAATTAATACAATTAATATTACGTTATCTATCATCTACTATCTATATAGATAAATAATAAAATTATGGTATTATAAGAGTTAAGAAGTTACGCCTAGTCAGAATTTTGGAAAAATCAATTTTGGAAAAAATTGATTTTTCAAAAAATCACATTTTCTTAGAAATATTCCCTCAAAATTTTAAGTCGAGCCGCTGTATTTTCATGAAGATACACGATCTTGAGTATACATCCATCGAAACGATACGGTGAAGATAGTTTTACAATTAGTGAATCTGCAAAAAACTTAAGAATCGTCGACATCAACAAATTGGTGTTTTAGAAGCAACAACTTTAGCAGAGAGTGTATTATATGGCCTTGGAATAGATGATTTTTGTGTAAATTGAAATTTAGTATAAACTGCACTTGAAACTTTAAAAACGCGTTTTTCTCAAAACTAGGTTTTCTAAACCAGTAACCACGATTTCTCAAAAACCACTGCACATTAATTTGAAATTTTACGTGCTTCTTTTAGACATGTAAATCTAGTCTTTAATCGAAGGATTTTTTTTCCAATGCGTACTTTTTTTTTAATGGTCGAAAAATGTCCATTTTTTTTTTAAATAAAAATCAGACTTAAACTTTGAAACAGTTGTGACCATTTTGTCGCAATTTAATTTTTCGGATCGATTAAAGACTAGATAAATTTATATATTAACTAAATTTTTAGGATTTTTTAATTTCTGATAACCTGATTCCGAACAGTAGTGACCACCGTAAAATGCGTTTTGAAAAACAATTTCCCGGACGTGAATTGTAACTTATTTATTTATTATTATTTTTGCATTAAAAATTATGAGATATTGTTAAAAGTATAGGTTCTTTTGAATATAAAAAAATATGCATATACTTTTTTCAAAACAATTTACGAAAATTCGTCTTTTTTTGGCCTCCTGACTAGGTGTAACCCCTTAATATAAACAGGGTGGATACTTCCAGGAAAATCTGGAATTCTCGAAGAATTTCATTTTTACCCTTGAAAATCATGAATTCTCATGGAATTTTATTGATACAGGGAAATTTTTTAAATTTTACTTTTATATTTAAATTTAATTTAATCTCTTTAGAAAGTAAATGTGGCCCCATATCGAAGGCCTCTGATATTGAAAGTTAATTTATTTTAAAATTGACATATACTATATAAAAACTCTTTAATCTAAAAAACGATAATCCGAAAATAATAAATCAGGCTCTAATAATGCAGAACTTGCATGCGTAGAAACAATTTAATCTTTACATATGCAGTTACATTTCCATACAAAATCTTTCGTTACGTTAGAAAAATTTTGTATGGAGATGTAACTATTGTACATATGAGAAGATTAAATTGTTTCACGCATTAAGTTCTATACGTTATTAAAACTTTTAGTGCCTAATTTACTTTAAAGCTGTATTGAGAAGTTCTCTAATCTCCTGGAATTTTTAATAAAATTCCTGGAAAATCCAGGAATTTTTAAGGAATTTTTTTACAAAATTTGAGTACCCACCCTGATAAAGTATTTCTAAGAAAAATAGATATTAAAATTAGATATTATATTTAGATATTTATTATGTGCCTAATGTATTTTAAAGCTGTATTGAGAAGTTCTCTAATCTCACCTGGAATTTTTAATAAAATTCCTGGAAAACCCGAGAATTTTCAGGGAATTTTTTTACAAAATTTGAGTACCCATGGGAAAATGTATTTCTAAAAAAATAGATATTAAAATTAGATATTATATTTAGATATTGATTATGCGCCTAATTTATTTTAAAGCTGTATTGAGAAGTTCTCTAATCTCCTGGAATTTTTAATAAAATTCCTGGAAAACCCGAGAATTTTCAGGGAATTTTTTTACAAAATTTGAGTACCCATCCTGAAAAAGTATTTCTAAAAAAAAAAAGATATTAAAATTAGATATTATATTTAGATACTGATTATATATTTATGTAATTATTTCCTTGTTCCAGGTCCACCAACTTTTTCCAGGTCGCCCAAGGAGACTGTATTCGTGCACACTCTGCTCTGCAGCACCAAGCTGACGCAGAACGTCGATCTGCTCAGCTTGTTGCAATGGAAGGCCCATCCTGACCGAATATCCGAGGCTCTCGGCCGCGTTCTACGATTGGACGGCGAGGAGCTGGTTAAGTTCCTGCAGGACATTCTCGACGCGCTCTTCGCCATGTTTCACACCGAGGACGGCAACTCCACGGCGCACTCCGGCCTGGTGTTCCAAGTACTCGTGTCTATCTTCAGCCTGTTGGAGGACTCCAAGTTCGAGCATTTCAAGCCGGTGATGGACGCCTATATTTCGGACCACTTCGCCGCGGCTTTGGTGTACAAGGGCCTTCTCAGCAGCGTGCAGCACTGCGCCGATTGGGTGACCGCCGCGGAGAAGCAGGAGCCGATTATGAAGTGCTTCCGCTCTCTCGAGTACATCTTCAAGTTTATCATTCAGAGCCGGCTGTTGTTCGCCCGCGCGACCGCCGGCCAGTACGAGGACAGCTTCAAGCGCGACCTGTACTGCGTGTTCGCGGCCCTCAACAAGATGCTGGGCATCCCTTTCGAAATGGTGCTGCTGTCGCAGATCGCGCTGCTGCTGTCGATCGCGGCGGTGTTCGAGCAGCTGGTGGCGGTGCTGCCGGTCCTCGAGGTGACCAAGCTCACCTGCACGATGCTGGACTCGGTGCCGCGGGAGCCGCCGCTGCAGCTCACCCAGGCCAAGTTGGTCGCCATTAAAAATCTCACCTCGTCCAGCCTGTTCCGCAAGGACGACGAGAGTCGGAACATGTTGCTCGTCACTGTATGCCGGCACTTGCGCATCCATCTGGCGCGCAGGGAGGAACTGCGCTCCTGCACCGACATCCTGGGCGAGATACTCAGCTTCCTGCACAAACGCGGCAGGGACACGAACAAGGTCAACAACTGCATACACCACGACGTCGAGACGCTCTGCCTGTCGGTGCTCGATGTGCTCATACAGACGATACTGATCGTGATAAATGCCAACGGCCCGGTCCTCGGCTGCCTCGTCGCCTGCCTCATCGGGCTGCTTCAGCTGCTGGACGAGTACCATTACGCGCGGCTCTGGGAAGAGTTGACCCACGGCGGCGATCGCAAGCCCCTCAAGGACTTTCTGCTGCGGGTGTTCCTGGTGCTGCGGGATCTCGTGCGCCAGGAGGTGTTCCCGCCGGACTGGCTGGTCATCAGGATGCAGGTCAACAACGTTATCCTGCGGGCGCTGCAGGAGCTCGCGCAGCCGCTCGCTTTCCGCTTCCTCCAGGGCAGCTTCGACTCGCAGCTGTGGTCCACGTACTTCAACCTCGCGGTGGCTTACCTCACCCAGCCGTCGCTCCAGCTCGAGCAGTTCTCCGAGGTCAAGCGGGAGAAGATCGTGGAGAAGTACGACGACATGAGGGTGCTCATGGGTTTTCAGATACTGTCCATGTGGTCGCACCTGGGCGAGCGTAAGCTCGAGTTCATACCGGGCATGGTGGGGCCGTTTCTCGAGGTCACTCTGGTGCCGGAAAGCGAGCTTCGCAAGGCCACCCTGCACATCTTTTTCGATATGATGGAGTGCGAGCAGCGGGCCCGCGGGAGCTTCAAGTCTGTGGAGTCCGAGCTGATTGACAAGCTCGACATTCTTATCAGCGAGAATAAAGGCGACGATGAGTACAGGCAGTTGTTTAACACTATGTGAGTTTATATATATCTTTTAAGATTGATGTCTTATACTTTTAAAACTAAAGAAACAGTAATTTCACATAGACATATTAATTTTATTATTGAAATAAAAATTATTCTTTGCTGCATTATAATTTTTAAGTTGTATATTTTTAATACTGTGCAATTTTTCACTTTTGTACCACCGCCGTTTTGTATAAACGGATGTTATTGTTAGAACCTATATACAGGGTGAACCATTTTAATCTATCCAGTCGAATATCTCCTAAAGTAAGCGCTATACAACAAAATGTTTTAGACAAAAGTTGTAGGGTTTCGAGGGGGACATAAGATGATAACATTGGTTTGACCCTGAGTGGCGTCGTCAAGA